CGACGTGGGATTAATCACAGTTGACCCGGTCAAAATCTCTTTGCGTGAGGGGGCTGTGCCTGTTTACAGAGCCCAGTACCCACTCACACAGCAGCAAGTCAGTGGAATTGAAAAAACTATTCATGGACTTTTGGAGGCTGGAGTTTTGACTCCCACTCAGTCTGCCTGGAACACGCCCATAAACCCGGTTCCAAAGGCCGGAAAACCTGATTACAGGATGGTTCATGATCTCAAAGCTGTAAATAAATTTGTGGTGCCAACTAATTATGCCACGCCAAATCCATACACCATGTTGAATGCAATAATTACTGAATACAAGTTTTTCCACATGCATTGATCTTGCAAATGCATTTTTCTCAGTGCCCCTACACAGACTCACAAGATATGTTTGCTTTCATGTATAAAGGACAAAAATTCCTTTATCGAAGGCTACCTATGGGTTTTATTGAGTCCATCCATCTTTAATCACATTCTGAGACAATCTTGTTGTTTTCTGTGCATTAGTTACCCCCTAATGTTATGATTAACCGATGAAAGTTTGCTACACATGATGTTTATACTTTTCCACAATTATTTCTGCTCAAATGCTCTTAGTTGCATTGAATCAGCTTACACATACAGCATACATATAGAGGTCACTGCAACGAAAAACCTGCTTACATGCTGTTACCCCTTTTGTGTTTTTAGTTCATTTTTCCCTAAAGTACTCAGCTCTGTAGTTGACCCTTGAGGGAGTGGCTTTGAGGGGGGCCTCTCACCTCTCGAAACGCTAGGTGGCTGCATCTGGGGACAAAGGGACATTGATTTAGGTCGACACGATTTTGGTCGTGTCGAAAGGGGGAACTGTTAGGTATTTTTAGTCAGAAAGATATTGGTGCTGGACTCAGCACTTACATTCTGCAAGAACAACACACACACACACACACGCACACACACACACAGAGAGGAAGAGATCAAGGTGAAGCATTATTGTCATTGTAACACGTACAATGAAATTTTTGTTTGGAGCCGACGAGCCCCGGGCCGCTGCGTGCATATGCACTGCCATCACGGGCAACTTGAGGGGTTCAGTGTCTTGCCCAAGGACACTTCAACATGTGGACTGCAGGGACCGAGATTTGGACCTTCAACCTTCCATTTGGGAGACGACTGCTCTACCTACTGTTAGGTATTTTTAGTCAGATAGATATTGGATAGATACTTTATGTATTAGAAATGTTTAGTGGAGATAGGATGTCTAGTTAGACTGTTAAATGCTTAGGCATGCTTATGAGTTTCTACAGGGTACATCTGGTCAAGGATAACTAGAGAGAAAAGTTGATGACTGTCAGCAGACAGGATGGTTAATATTATTATTATGACATGTATAACTGTAGCCTTAGCCGCCTGGTGGGTTCAGGGTCTTTCATCTTACATCTGCCTGCGTGCAGTTTGGAGGTGCAAGATACCTGAGCGTGTAATGTTAATTTTACCTGTGATCCTTTGAATAAATCAGCACTGTTTTGAAGTTACCTGGACTGTCTCGTCTCTCAGAGTTAGCAATGGTAACAAGAACCAAAGACCAACACTACCACACCACTGTCGCATGTTGCGTTTACTTTTTTAGCTGTAGTATTACACCATTCTGTTCAACAGAAATATTAAATTTTGCATCAGCCACTACAGCAAAATGCTGTACTGAAACATTGCAGGTGGCAATATACAGGAGCATTTGTTTTAATAACAGGACTAGTGTGACAGCAACACACAAAGGTGAATCCATTTCTTTATACAACAGACTCATAACACAGAGATGCCCAGTGTGCCAGCGCTTACCCGTTCCTTGGTGGTTCCGACAACAATGCTGCTGGCCGGCCGGCTGTCGAATACGTCATCTGTCTTGAGCTGGCCAGCTGCTCCAGGCAGGGGAGGGAAGCTGGAGAGGCCCAACTCAAAGCTCGGAGATGGGGGTTTGGGAGGAGGAGGCGGCGGCGACTGGGGTGTCACTCTCTGTGTGACAGCAAACAAACTAACTCAGCACAAAACTCAGAAGAGGTGGGAGAGAAACAACACAAACTACAAACAATAGTGATGAAGAGTTAATGGCTTTTGGTTCGGCACAAAGACAACAATGAGGAAAACAAACTACTCTGCATAATGGCATCGCAGAACTGCTTTTATTGATTCCTTTGTATCAATCTCTCCATAAAAATTAAAACCCAATTCATACAAAGGCTTTATACTTTTAAGATAAAATCAGCTGCATTAGAATGAGGACAAAAATACTCACTGTAAACTTTTCGTCCCTCTTTTTCCTAGAAGCAGAAACATTTTTCCTTTAAGAAAGAGAACATCTCAATTTACAAACATCCATTCTATCTGAAACGAGTTAACTTCGCACAAGGTAAACAACATTCATTCTACACCACGTGTTAAACATACTCACATCCTAAGACGACTTACACCTAACAGCTGTACACTAAATCTGAGCTCTGCTGCTACATCCAGAGAAGCAGCAACACCTGATTAATGCTGAACGCATTCGGTAGCTGTTGTACCTGCAATGTTGTGCAGCTGGGGAAACCGAGCATGTTATTGCTCTGCATTTTAGTTTGCTGTTGTACAACATTTCAGGTCATATTTTATTACCATAAATTAGCCACATTCAACCCAGATTTACACTCACATCAGCTGCCAAAGGAACAGAACCCACCACCACTACTGGTCTACTGACTGGTGCGCCATCTTTTCTCTGATTTGGTTTTAATAATTTGGAATGTATCCACAGTGCTTGCAGCAGTGCTGACATTGCTATTTAAAAATAATACAAAAATGGGAGATATTCTTTTGCAACAACAAAAATAAGTCAGCAAATGCCAGTTGTTTATGCACTGACTGTGCACTGTGTGACAGGTTGGTTCAATAAACAAGTCATGCAGGTATAAAGCATCATGGGACAGCATGGTCCTATTATAGTGCCACAGGAGCTTTTGGTGACAAGGAGCAGTGTCATACCTTCCTCGACCGACACCCAGCGAGTAGTCTGTGGTTGTGTGCTCAGTTACTCGCCCCGTGCCCACAGTGTCCCTGCGGGGGAAAGCCGTGCTGGAGGGTAACCTGGTTCTGGGCTGGCCGGTGGAGAGCCGTGTCGGCGGGCTGCTTCGAACTCCATTGAGTCTCTCGCTGGGGAAGCTGGGAAAG